TATATTGCAATTTTATTCAGCCAAATAAAGGAATGCAGTATTGGTATATGCTGGTGTGGTTGGGAGGGGGAAGGTGAGTTTATTCTCTCTGTCTTCTGGAGGGAAGTGCTTCTTTTTGCTCATCCTTGAACATCAGTTCTGGCCTTTGGATCCCAAGAGATGAACCAGCTGCCTATGCCAGGTTCTCAGGCCTTCAGCATTAGACTGACCATTATGCCATTAGCTTTCCTGGTTCAGAGGTTTTCAGATTTGGAATCAGCCCTGCTGCTGGTATCCCAGGGTCTGTAGTTTGCAAATGTCCTGCTACAGGATTTGTCAATCTCTATAATTATGTGAGCCAATTCTTTTCATAAACCTGCTGCCATCCATCCATCCATCCATCCATCCATCCATCTGTCCATCCATTCACCCACCCATCCCTGTTTATCTATCTACAAGGTATGATTAAAACTACAATGAATGTTCAAACTTAAAAATTATACAGTGAAAGGTACGTTGCCATCAATCCCCCATAAAATACTCTTTTTCATTTCTAATACATTTATCCATTTGTTCTTGACATTTTCTGAAACAGTTCTGGAAATCCTCTTTCTGAGAATCTTGAGTTGCATTGTGTGGCTGCCTTGATGTACTGAAATGACTCAAAACACTTACTTTTCATTTGTTTTTGATTTGGGGGAAAAGTCAGAAGTTCCACAGTGCTGGGTCCTGGGAATAAGGAGAAGAGGACACACTGTAATATCTTTATTTGACAGACGCACAAATTTCAAATTGATTTAAAACTGAGGCAGCCATGAGAAGACGTGGAAGAGGACTTCCAGAACTGACTCAGAAAGAGGCAGACGCAGGCATGCTGGTGCCTGCCTGTAATCCCACCATGGAGGAGGCTGAGACAGGAGGATCATTGCAAGGTCAAGGCTAGCCTGGGGTACATAGTGGGGTGAAAGCCAGTCTAGACTGCATAATTGAGACTCTGTCACAAAACAGAACAAAACCCTAAACAAAAAAACAGAAAGTGGCAGAAATGAAAAGATAAGTATATTTTAAGTATTTTGAGGTAGATTAATGGCAAAATGTCTTTTACTGTAACACATCTTAAAATTCTTAATCATTCAATATATTTTTCATCATACTGCATATATTCATCTGTCTTATTGATTCCATCTCAGTAGGGAGCTCTGATTAACACAGCTCCTTTTTCTATTTTTCATAGTATTCCCCTTTCCTCCTCCATCACAGGAAGCCACTACCATAACTTATGTTTCTCTGATTTCACCCATTCACCACTAATGTTTTTATACATACATGTATATATGTATATGTATATATATACATATGAATGACATGTAAATAATTACAGCAGTTACTTTTTCTGTTGTGTTAAATATATTTATTCTGTATCTCCCATGCTACATGTATCTCTCTAACATTCACAGGTACATACACACACACATACACACACAGCACCATCATTTTAATGGTTGTATTACATTCTAACAAATGAATACACCACAATACACCTGGTCTTTACTTATAAAACTTCTAGATTCTTCCCAACCAGCCCCAGTGTATGACTACTAAAAACAATGTTGTAAGACATTATTTGTGCCTGTCTTTTATACATAGATGGAAATGTTCCTAGAGGGTGTAATCCTAGAACAGTGAGTCATGTGGTAGGTTGGGCAAACTTTTCCCTCTGGCATCTGATTGTATTTGACTAGTGGGAGATGCTGACAAGAGAGCAGAGGATCAGACAGCAAGGTGGGGTATTTCTTCTCCTGGCTGTTGACCTGGGGCTCTGTGGGTTGGCTACATTCTTCCACCCAAGGCTACAGCTCTTGTGAAGTCACTCAACTATTGCCACAACTACTTTTTTTGGGTTCAAGGGTTCTGTTGGACCCTCCTTCTCTTTGTCATCAGACTTCTCTGCCATAGCTACTCTTGTTCTTTAAAGTATCCATTAACAGGTTATGTAACTCAGTGGTAGAATGCTTGCCTAACATACGTAGGGTTCAAGCCCCAGGATGCAAATAAAGTGCTCATTAACCTCCATATTTTTGTAAACAGTTATTTTATTGACTTCCTCTCAATCAACCAGAGTGACAGTGCATTGTATTTCCTGCCAAGGGACTGACCAGACCACATGTAGGCATTTTATAGTTTTACTAGCCAACAATAAGCTATGCTTAGTCTCTATCTCTTCCAGAGAACTTGATGAAGCCTTATAATTTTGTAACCTTGCTAAAATGTGATTTCCTTACTTTTCAGCATCTGCAACCTCTGCTGTACTCACTGGTCCACACATATGCTTTTCTGAGATCTAGAGAAGGGAAGCTTCTTTTGGTTCACAGTCCCAGAGTTTTCGGTTCCTGGTCTGCTGATTTCACTGCTTTCAGGCCTGTGCCCGAAACATCATGGTGGATGAGAAGAGAGTAGAAAAGCTGTCCACCTTACAGCAGCTAGGACAAGAGCCGAGAACAAGGGAAAGATATACAGTGGTCCACAGTGCCACACTCCATGTCCCACTCTTTTCAACTAAGCTCTGGCTTGCAAATTTCCATTACTTCCCAATAATCCCATCAAATTATAATCCATCCATGGAGGGAGGAAGCTGCAGACTTTATCATCCAGTTATCACCAGATGGGGCCCAAGGTTGTCCTTCCAAAGAGAAGACGATGGAGACCTTAACTCATACCCTGGAGTAGGTTCTTTTGTTTTTCTTTTGTACCAGGAATTGAACTCAAGGCCTTACACTTACCACACAGGTGCTGTGCTGCTGACCTGCATCCCCAGTCCCTAGAGTAGGTTCTTAACTCATCATCAAAGAAAAAGAAATTTAAGATGTGCCAGTAGAAGGCACAGGCAGAGTTAGAAAATAAGAGAGAACAGGGAAGGAACTTCAGTTTGAAGTGCTTAAGGTAGCGCAGCTCTGACAAAGATGATCAGACTGGTGTGTTCACAGAAGAACCAGACCGTTTTTTTTTTTTTTTTTTTAGATTTGCTAGGGTGACTAGAGTCTGGTTGATCATTATCTTAATTCTGGTTTTGCAAGGTGGCTCCAGGAGGCCTTATTGCTTTGGGGGCAATTTTATCTCCATGAGATGATTGTTTCTGCTTGGGGCAGTCTCAGTCTGAAGAGGCTCTACTGAAATTCAAGGTGACTTAGGTTTAGGGCAATGACTAGAGACTTCTGGGTGCTCATTTTTAGTTGAATGTCCCCATAAACCTCTTATCTTTGTGTCCTTAGTCTTAAAAGGGGAAAGGATAGGTTATGTAAATATAAAACTAAAGACATCCTTTTACCAGCTTTTAGACAGATACTCCCCAAATGATTAACATGCCTAAGCGCAGAATTGAACAAGGGTCTGACTCAAAGTTTTAAGCTACTAAATGGTCAGGCACTGTTCTACTTTTAGTTACCTATTAGGCATTTGTAGGCTCAAATGAAGAGTCACTGTTTTCCGCAAAAACCACTTTTAAGTCTCTGGTTGTCTCAGAAGGAACCACAAACCACGCTTTAATGGACATCAGGAAAAGGGCCCTGGAGTCTGTTTGTTCTCTCTTTGGGAGTCTTTGGGACTCTGGGAGTTGCTCACTGGCTGTGTTACAAACGCCATCTGAAAGGTCTTCCTTCGAGCACATGAAACTGGAGAAGAGGTAGGGGGCATTTTAGAGCCAAGCCATAAAAATGGTACATTCTTCATCCTTCTATTTAGCCACTTTTTTCATACTTTGGTTATCTGAGCCTCTGTCCCTCTCCTACCTTCCTATGAGGATCTCTTACTTCTTCCTGAGGTCATTTGAACTCTGAAAGAGCTATTGCTTATGAACTCCTAGCACTTATTTTTCCTGTGAATCACGTTGGCATTCTGCTTCTCAAAATCTCTAGTACAAATATCCTTTCTTTTTCTTTCTTTCTTTCTTTCTTTCTTTCTTTCTTTCTTTCTTTCTTTCTTTCTTCTTTCTTTTTCTTTTTTTCTGTTTTGAATCTCTGTCAAATATGGTTTTTACTGAACCAGCAAGCACTTTTCTACAGCTGCACTTGTAGATCATCACACGGCAAAAACAGGAGGCTCTCTCCTCTAGGCTTTTTTTTTTTTAACCTATTTAAAAATGAGATTGGGGGCTGGTGAGATGGCTCAGTGGTCTAAAGCACCTACTTAGAACAAGTTTAGCAAAGCACAGGGACCGCGGTTCAATCCCCCAGCACCACATGCCAGCCAGCCCC